ATTTCATTACTAGCAAAAAGCTGCTCTATGAGCACTTTTTTGCCAGGCCTGTGGCATTTAAGGGACACAGCACATGCACTGATTTCTTTGGTCAATAATTTAAGATTCCAGTTGTAAAACCTTAAATTGTACCCTACTCAGTTCACATCTAAATTTATCTGCAGGCTGATCATTAAACCACAGATTGTTGCATTTATAGTAATTTGCTTATATTTTAAATAAATATCTCTGTATAAATATCTATATCTCTATTTTGTTTTCATGTCATTTAGCAGTACTTGTCACAGGGTTCACTCAGTCCTGATGGTCAGCAAAAAATGTCTTGAGCTTTACCTTAATGAACTATTAAGCTGCTCTATATGTTTGTGATATTAAAGGACTTTATGTCTCATTCTTTATTCCATATTTAGCAGTGACTTGAAAGAAATTCCCTCGCAGATACAAATTTTGGTGACCATCAAGGCGTATGTGAGACTTCAGTATGGTTTGTCCACCCGTCGCTTGACAAATTCAGTATCATGAGACCAAGACGAGGAAATGCTCAACCTGCTTCCTGTGGTAAAACAGTGAATGGACTAACAGTCAACCCGCTTTCACCTGCAGGTCATCACATACTGACGTTTGGTCAGGAGCACATGTGTGGATGATTCACATTATGACCCGCTGGATGTTTTCTTCTTAAACATGCAGGGCAGGCAGAATTTTATAGGAGTTCTTTAATGTCTGAAATGGAAGGCATGAAGTTTTTGGCAAAAGATGGTGTTGTCATGATGAGTCTAACCATGATTGCCAAAGAAACCTTCTGCAGATAGACAACATGTGCCATATTTGAACCCAAACTTTTTCATTTTAGTTTTCATTTAACGTCGAGTCAAAACAGAAAAAACTGGTCCCAGTCTGCCTTGAGGTGACTGTTGTTGTGATTTGGCGCTATATAAATAAAATTGAATTGGATTGAATAGATAGCACTGAAACACCTGCATTCTGCCTTCTGCCTGCCTCCCAACGTGCACTTTTTAAAGGTTTTTGTTCATAAACACATTGGTGCAGGGGGGTATTGTGTGTTAAAAGATGACGATAAGGGGCTCTGGACCATGGTTGTCCTACTTTTGTCTTCTTGTCTGTAAGTTTGCCCTCATTTGTTGCTGTTTTTGTTATATCGCGTGCTCTTCCAGGTTTTTAAAATTAAATTACAGTGTCTTTGTATTATGATTGTAGTCATTTCACTCAATGTAGTTTTTAATTATGTGTAATTTGGCTGGTCTTCTCCAGCTCTAATAAATGCCTGTGGCCTAGTACATGTCATCCCATATGGAAAAGATGTATATAAATCTTATAAAGTTTGTATCTGTCTTGTGTGAAACTTGTATGAAAAGCATACAAGAGTGAAAACAGATATAAGATCCCTTTAAAAAATATCTAAATGAAACTTGTATGCTTTGGATACTTACTAAAACAATATATGAAAGTGGCCACTTTCATGAGTAAATGATATAAGCCTTCACTATATGAAGTAGGCCACATCTTATGCAAGCCTTTTATAAGTTTTTACTATTTCTTTTCCATATGGGAATGCCGACTAGTGTTTGGAAGTGAAACATAAAGAAGTATATCCTCTGTCCTCACCTTATTCATCAGCTCTTCTCCTCTTTGGTCTGTTTCCCCTCTATTTGCTCTCTCCTCAATCTCCACAGTGTGAAATCCAATTAATCAGCATACTGTAATGCCTTTGATAAAACCAATACTCTCCCCTCTCTTTCTCATATCGATTCGAAGAGTTTCTTGTGTTGGCAAAGCAGCCTGAAACAAAAGCACACACACAAAAAAAGTTGACTGCACCAAAACACAGAGAGTGTGGAGAGTGGCTGATATCGACTGGACTTAATGCAACAACTGTCTCCTTCATACAGTGGTTTCAGTTCATTTCTCCTCCCCTTTATTTATTATTTATCCAATAAAACAATCATTCTTTTGTAATTTCTTATTGTATCTTTCTGTCCTTTAACTTTTTGCGTTTGCAGTGATCCACAGTGTGTGGAATTACTGTGGAAGGCTTAAACCTAGTGGATCAAAGCAGTAGTATTCTGTG